AGAACTTACAATATCTGCAAATTCTAAGCAATTCCAACTGGTGCCAATATATTTTTGTACATTTATTGCATTTGGCAGACATCCTTATCCAGAGCAACTTACATTTATTTCATTTTATACAACTGAGCAGTTGAGGGTTAAGGGCCTAGCTCAAGGCCCCAGCAGTGGCAACGTGGCAGGGCTGGGGTTTGACCTCACAACCTTCCAGTCAGAAGTCTATTGTCTTTACCACTAAGCTACCACTGCCCATATTTAAGTTTAAGATCAATCATGTTCATTACCGTGTCAGTGATTGGCAGTTGGTTATGAGGTTCCACCCCTTTGAGAGGCCTACCAATCATCATAAGGAAAAGCCGTGCTTCCAGGCAGTACAAACAAAGAGTGCACTGTCCAATAAATAGTGAGATGTTTCTTTTCTGTGCAAAACACACCCATCCACACTCATTCACCCCCAGTGAAGCCTGTGTATCCGGGTATGGCTCAGAATGACATGTTAAAAGCCTGTTGTCCAATAAGCATTAATTCTGTACCATTAAAACACAGTGTACTTAAATCTGCAATAGACACCCAGAGACACATGGGCTTCTCTGAGTGTATATTAGTGCTGCGTTGGGGCTTCACAGGAGATTTTCATGCAGGTTGAGCTGCCCACCGAAAACAGTGAAGATAAATGATTGAACACCGTGATATTGCAGTGTGATATTTGATCATTTGATTCATTAAAATATTGAATTCCACCAAGACTGATGAATAAAATAAACATTTAGGTGAACACTTCTGCATTTTATTGAAATTTTAAGGGAAGCAGGGCTTCCAGTGTAGTTTTAAAGCATTCACTTGTGTCTGAGACCAAGGTAGAACTTTTTTGGAATAATTCTAAGATATGTTTTGCATGAAAACAAGAAAGCTTATCACCCAAAGAGCACCATATCTATTGTAAAGCATGGTGATGGTAGCGTCAAGCTACACTGTAAAAAATCCAACTTGCAAATTGTTAGCTCAGTTTAAAACTGTAAGTCAAGTGGACAAATCTTTGAGCGCAGTGTTGAGTTTACTTGTAAAAACTATTTAACTGCATGTTGATTACTACTTTGTCCACTGAATATAAACAATTAAGTTGAGAAAAATTAATATTTTGATTTCTAAGCTCAACCGTTTAACTTCCTGTTATTGCGCATGCGCGGTCTGTCTGACCCCCAGTGCTCAGCTAGAGTCCAGTCATTTAAAAACAAAGTGTTAATGTCCAAGTAGCTGCAGTCGATAAGCAAGGCAAGCACTAATTTGTTATTCCAGTTGTTCCTGTTGTTTCAGTAACAGTTGTTCCTTAACAGCACAACATATGCAAAAAAAAAAAGAAAGCTTTGAGTTGTAATGTAAGGTTGAGTGTTGTGTTAACAGTTGTAATTCTTGATTGCGTTAGCACGTTTGTTGCATGGATGTACCAAATGTACGAAATTTCAAAAATGCAATGCAAGGTGTACTGTTTTAAGACTTTGAAGTCTCGTTTATTGCTGCAGCATTTTATGATTGTTACTTTAAGAACAATTTTGTTACTCCAGCACTTTAAAAGAAGTGTGTGTGTTGTGTTTTATTATGCCAGCACTTTAAAAGCATTACAAGATTAGAGGATTTTTTTTTTGCCTCTTAAGTTTTTTTTGTTTTGTTTTTTGTAATTCATCTTGATCTTGTAGAACTTCATGCTGACAGAAAATGTGCCGTTTTGCAAGCGTCAGTAAATATTTTCTGTGATGTTGAGTATTGTGTTGTATTTGTGTTGTATATGGTTTGTACTCCCTGCATTTGGATTCCCAATGGGAGGTCTGTACAAGTTTCTGGGTGAGACATTTGGAGAAAGTTGAATTAACTTAAAAAATTAAGGCAACCAGCTGCAAAGCTTTTTTGAGTTTATTGAACTTCAGGACCTCTGTAGTTGTGCTTACTCGTTTCTATGAGTTGGACTGGTTGTTAGGTGAACTTACTGAGGAAGGTATAATTAACTTAATCAAATAAGTTTAGTGAACTTTAAAAAATGATTTGGCACAACTTCGACCACTGAAGTTGAGTAAACTCAAAAATGCTTTGCAGTAGGTCGCCTTATTTTTTTAAGTTAACTCAACTTTTTATTTTTTATAGTGTATGAGGCTGCTTCTCTTCAGCTGGGACTGGGGCTCTTCTCAAGATCATGATCAAGAATCATGGATAACTCCAAATACCAATCTATTTTAGCACAAAACCTGCAGGCCTCTGTTAGACAGCTGAAGATGAAGAAAAATTTCACCTTCCAGCATGACAATGACCCAAAGCACAAATCCAAGTCAGGAAAGGATGGCCTCAGAAGAAGAAGTTCAAAGTTTTGGATGGCCCAGTCAGAGCCCAGATATAAATCCTATCAAAAACCTGTGGAAGGACTTGAAGACAGCTGTGCACAGAGAGACTCTTGCAAATTGATAGATCTGGAGCATTTTTGCAAGGAACAGCAGAATAAAATAAAGTTGGTAGACTCAAAAAGACAACCCAAAAAAAGAGTGCTGTATTACAAGCAAAAGGTTTTTTGTTATAGATAAACTTCGTGGCAGTGAATTTGAGCTATTAAGTAATAAACACTAGGTTCCTGATTTATTAAGATCCCAATCACAAGTGTAAGTAATTACATGTAATTAAGTGATTACATGCTTTGTGAGTACTAATTAACAAATAGATATATTGGTTGAATGTTTAGATTAGAGTATTGTCTTTTCTTTGTATCTCATTAATTTTTATTCACATAACAGCATGCTTTATCGCTGTCACCAGTTTCCAGTCGAGTTTTTCATTAGTGTGTTGAGGTGACTGTGCATAGGGATTGGGCACACCAGGGACTGGGATGTCTTCTTAGCCTCTGGCTTTTCCATCGCTGCTGTCTGTCCTTTAAATACTGTGCACAGTTTTGCAAGGCCTGCAGGTCTGTTTAACTGTAGGTGTGCTACTCATCCTGTTCTCAGAGCTGTAGGGGAACAGGCTCTGGGCCACAAGTATGGCCCTGTCTACAAGCTAAATTCTGTAACCCGGAGGAAAAGTTGTTACAACTATTAATCCACAAGGCATCTATAATAGATTTCTTTTTTAATTCAACAATTCCTTAGTCCTTTCTAGGATAGTTACTTGTGCTCTGCTACTTAAACGATGGAGAAGCTGTGACTGGTCTTAATAAATAGTATTTTAAACAGTAGTAGGTTAAGTAATTGTTGTTAATTTAGGATTACTACTGCAAATTGGAAACAGCATTCACAATATCTGTCCATAATGAAAATATAAAAATGACACTATGCTGAACTGTGTGCCAAGAATAGCAGCAGAACATTTAAATTAATGTTACCACACTTAGCACAGATGTGTAAGGTACAAGATTGCAGCTGAGGGACCACTGTTTTTTGAACACCTGCCTGCAAAATCCTAGTGTTCTATCACACTGGGCCTGTTGTACTAATTTGGCTTTCAGCACAATATCTAGCATATTATGTAGTGTACCAGCATAAAAGCCTATGTACATACAAGACAGTATGTAAAGTGTGTTACCATAGAAAAATTGTACATATTGTGTCCAAAAAAATGTATCTTACCCATTCCAAAAAGTTTATAAAAACACCATAAAGTATGCATGGCTTCGTGACGACCGTTTAACAACTAGTACCTATTCCTAAAAGACAGCATGGAGAATTTTATCACCTGGAATTTTATCGACACTCTGCATACTGCACTTTGCACTTTGTATTGTTTCTACATGTAACATACTCACATATTTTGTACACGTAACATACTGCATATTTTGTTCATCCATTTTTTGCACATTCCTTGTTTATTTTGTATACCCCTTTTGCACATTCCTGTACATATATTTCTTTTTTTTTATTATCTTATTTCTTATTATTTCTTATTTCTTATTCATTTCTGATTTTTAATTTAGTATTTAAATGTACAGACTAAAGAGGAGAAGGCCAGGTTCTCATTTCACTGCAAGTTATATACTGTATATAACTGTGTATGTGACAAATAAAATCTTGAATCTTGAATCTTTATTTCATGAAAGACTTTTTAGACATCAATCTATAAAGTTTTTTGTTGTGATTCCTGCTTTGTGCATCTTGCAGCCAGAATTCTATGAGACTTCAGAATTAAATTTCACTGAAACTCATAATCATCTTCAGTGATCTTATTTTGTAAATGTAATTAATCATTGTCATACAACAGAGGCAGATGTTAGCGTGAGCTGTTTATTAACAATTCAAATAAGCAGATAAAAAAAACAGTCAGGGGTCAAACATCAGGCACACAATACAGGGAAAACAAAATCAAAATGAAGGGCAGAGCAAAAACTCAAAAACCAAGAATAACAAATAGAGAAAACAATGCTAAAAATGCCCACTGGAATAGGAAAAACCTTGCAAAGATTCAAAGGCAGTGAATGAACTGATATAAATACATGGAGTGCAAGCTAATGTCTGAACTGGATTGTATTATGGATTTGTGGTGGCTCCTTGATGGTGAGAAATGGTGGATAGTGCATTTGAATGTGACAATTATGGAACATTTTTTAGGCATTTATGCAACAAGAATTTGTTTACCAGTAGATGCTTAATATGTACAACAGTAAAGATGTAATAAACTTTGTAAATGTTTATAGATTAGTATGTGATTTCTCTTTGTAAATGACATTTCAGATTTATATCAGGGATTGTTTAAATGTACTTTAATATAATCTGAAACCACTGTTTGTTATAGAAGTTCTATATCCATCCATTTTCTGTACCACTTATCCTACACAGGGTTGTGGGGAGCCTGGAGCCTATCCCAGGAGACTTGGGGCTCAAGGTGGGGGACACCCTGTATGGGGCTGCCAACCCATTGCAGGGCACAATTACACACTACAGACAATTTGGAAATGCCAGTCAGCCTACAACACATGTCTTTGGACAAGGGAGGAAACTGTGGTACCTGGAGAACATGCAAACTCCGTGTACACAGGGCAGAGGTGGGATTCGAACCCCCAGCCCCACAGTTGCAAAGCAACAGTGCTAAGTGCTAACCACTAAACCACCGTGCCCCCCTTAGAAGTTCTATTTTTTTTGTTGTTGTTGTTTTTTAAAAGCTATATTATATAAACACGAGGCTTTAACTTAAATATTTAGGCAGTCTTAATTAATAATGAATGCATTCTTAATTTTTGATTTATTCATGGCTTGTTCATGAGTACTTATAAATTTATACCTCAAAGATATACTGTTGTAATATACAATGAAATTTGATTCTGTGAGCTATTTGGCAAACCACAAGATAGAAACTGCCCTTCCATAGAAAGACCTATGAAATATTAACATATTGCAACTTAAATGCAATGAAAACGTTCATATGCTTTTCTTAACTGTGTGGTTTCTGGCTGTCAGAACACATAAAAGAGTCAAAATCCATTTTGTATGCTGCTGAATAACACATTTATGCTCAAATCTTAAAGGTCAGAGTGGCCACTTGTGGGCCTTTGTTTCAAAGCTGTATAAGAAAGAATGAATTTCATTTTAAGGCGCACATGTTCCCTGGGGTTATTAGGATGGCATAAAAAGGAGATCACATGGAGGTCAGAACTTCAATATTTCTCAGCCATAATCTCAGGATGGACTCCTTGCTGATGCTGTGTCAGTGAGTGTCTGTCCCTCACTGGCATGCTTAAATAGAGCTCAGGAGAAACCCTTAGCCAGACACATTTCTGAGACAATCAGTGAGGACATGCTGTAATCAGATCCATACTATGATACACAAATGAGTCAGCTTTATTGCACTTATACATACAATAAATGTAAAGTGTTTAAATGTGTACAGTTCTGAATAAACTGACCAAGACATCTGAATATAATATAATATGCAATATATGAGTACACTCTTGTTCACTACATTTACATTAGATTCATTACTTCAGATGATACCACGACTTAGAATGTAGTGAAAACTTCTATAACACCAGAGAAAACTTCTGAGCAGTATGGAAAAGTTCATTCTTGCTGCATCATTGCCACAAAAGAAATTGTGGCAAATAAAATGTGGTCCCATCACTAATGTACCAGCTCAGTGGTTTTTCTTCATCCAGCCAAACTGTAGAAAGGCCAAAAGGGAACTGAAAGGAAAGAGAAGCTGAAAAGGGCAAGAACTGTAATCCTGACTTGTAAAGCGAATGCCCAGTTCAGGTTCTATTTCACTCTACTTAACCTTGAGAGGTGGTGAGAATCATCTGAATACCTTCTTGTGCATGTGCACATGCATGCCGAGACCTTCAACAAAGTCACAAAGTGACCATATGACATAATATTTCATACAAAATACTATTATCATATGGCCATCATTACCTTTCTTTTTCTCACCTCATACATGTGCTAGGGTTCATGGTCTTTGTAATAACTTATGACTACGGTCAGAGCTACAGGTAACCTGTCCCCCCAAGCTGGTGATAGCCTCCCATCATCTCCTATCATCTCCTTTCATCCACAGTGAGTGTATTTCATATATTTTGGAGCCTTTCGGATCTCTGCTAAATTGTGCTAGCTTGAGTTGGGACCCTTGTTAGTTGCTAGCCTTATCTATTACTTATCTATCACTCTTGCTTTGTCTGCAAGTTAGCTGCAAACTGTTCTGTTTCTCAGTGCAGCACACACCTCTCACCCACACCGGGTGCATCTTTTTATACACCCAGAGTTTTTCATTTTGCCTGCCATCTGTGGGCCTGTGAATATGTGGTTCTCCGCTGGCAAACCATGTATGGATAACATGCATACAGGGACCTGAGTTTGGCACCTGTATCTCCACGAAATGGGGCCTTTGGTTGGGTCTCTCAGTCTCCTGAATAGAGAGCACCAGGCTCCTGAATAGAGAACCTGTAGTTAGTGCAGCTAACATGGTTGAGTGGTCTCTCTCAATATACCATCATGCTGTTGAGCATACCATGTTATGGACCACTATGTCCCCTGAATGACTCTGCTATATTTTCCACACATTCCCTTAGTGATTCATTTCCCAGCTTCCACAGTCCCCACTCTCCGTGGACCTGTGGCTACATCCTGCTAGCATGTCCAAGTATGCACTATAACATGTAGTTGGTCACCAAGTTATCTGGGTTACACTATACACAGCTCTCAGTTCTCAGTAGTTTGCTCTCATGCAGTTAATGGATAAGCTCCCTGGAAGCTGAGGATGAATACCAGCTATGATGGCTGCCTTGGCATTGACTATCTTAGAGAAACAGCCTGATATGGACGTTCCCTGTGTTGACTGCACAGCAGAGTCTTGAGATGCATGCAGGCATCTCAAGACTCTGTCACCTTTGATTGCTCAATGACCAGTGTTCAATTGGAGAGACATTTATGTCCCCTACATCACCATGGACACTGGCTGGTGGGCCATGTGGTGCCACAGAGGCACAGGAGGCATGTGAAACCCTAATGTGAAGGTAGGCCATATCAACCAACTGATTCTGTGACATCACCATGTGCTGATCTGTTTCTGCTCAAAGGCATATCACCTACTTTACGATTGACCTCGTAGTGTTCCATGAAGTGGAACCTGCTGCTATTACTTGTAATGCCCAGTATGCACCCTGTGGTACTAAATAATGGATAATGTGATTCGATTATCAACTGTTCACCAGTAACAGAGGGAAGACATGGGCAGCTCCGCTATCTACACACTGGCCTACTAGATGCTACACCTTTGTCGACAGGTGGGCTGGATGCCTGGCCCTTACTGTGACATGCTATGCTAAGAAAAGCAGTTAACATTGCCAATCTCATCTCCAAACACCTTTCCAGTCAGTCTGAATATAGGTTGGTTTCTCATGACAAAGGTTATTCAGGTCCTTGGTTGTTAGGAGGGGTGCAATAGAATGCTATATAATTTTTACCTGTGGTTCTATGCCTGTTGCTAGGGTTCCTTGTCACTGATCAACCAAAGGTTCCAGAAGGTTCAAGGGAACAATGGCCATATGACAGTGGAACTTATCAAATCCTGTCATACGGTCATTTCAGGATTTTGTTGAAAGTTTCAACATGGTTGTGCAGATCCAGGAGATTTTACCACCCCTAGAGGTTATCCAGTCTTCATAGAACCAGTATTTGTAGCTAGCATTCTCTGGCCTTTGGCTCATTCCCTTGCAGGTGGATTAGGGTGAAAGTGCTTTTCTCAGCACATACTCTGAGACTCTAATGTAGCATTAAACATTTAGATCATGAGTCCCCATTAATGGTTCTTAGGTATACAGGTGCAGGGGCAAGGAGAGCAGTGTGATAGATGAGCACCAGTCTATCCTGGATTATAGTTTATGTCAGTGTCTTCTCTTTACTTTAAGCTGTGTTTAGATTCATGAGCCCTTTTTTGAGGCAGTGGTTTTAGTTATTCTCAATTTGGAGCTTACAATAAAAAGCCCTAGATGGGAAAGATAGTGGGTAACGATGAAAGAGAATGTAAAAAGCAGAATATTAAAAAAGTAATTTAAGAAAGTGTTATCATAGTTGTAAATGTATGGCTATAACTTCTCTCATACTTGGATATTTTCTGGGGGTAAAGATGTGTTTTTGCAGTTTCTTTAAAATTATAATGTACTAGTGTTAAATTTAAAATGCTACCCCTGCTGTATCATTAAAGCACAATCACAGTTTTGAATTCCCCTACAACAGACATTACTTAACTGGTGACACTGCCTCAAGCTTGACTCCCTTGCTACATATTCATAGAACATGGTGGAGAGTTACCCTACGTTCACACAAGCAAGTGACAAAGCGACAGACAACCATTCATTTTCTATGTATGTCCGTGACACAGAGCGGTGATTTCAGTGACAAGAGACAAAGTGAAAGCACAACAAGTGACATTTGAATTGAATTGATTTTCTCAATTCTATGCAAATTAGGTATGACATGGTAAAGTGACAAATCCAAATAATTGGCTCAAATGATTCCTTGGACCTATGACACATGTGGTCCAACGTTTATTCAGTTCCCCACTCACAATTTTAGATTCTATGTGCTGTTAATACCCATTTACTGTCTGATGTGTGAAAATGGAAGAAAAACTTATAGCATTGGTTTCATCTTCTTTTGTCATATAAGACCTCTCATTAAATTTGTATAAAGACATTACAAAAAAAATAAAAATAAAAGGTTTTGAAGAAAGTAGCAGAGATTATTGGTGCCTCTTGTGAGTGTATGTAGCTAGTACAGTTAGCTTGCTTTGCTACTCTGCTAATCTGCTGGACAGTGCTCACACACAATCAAAAATAATAGCAGTCATTACTTGTCCACAAGAGACAAACTACAAGTGACACTGGCGATGTGTCGCTTGCTAGTGGGAACATAGGGTAAAGCTAGCTAAGTATCTAGGCAAACATCTTGTGAATTAGCTAGACTAAGCTACAACATTGTAAATAGTATTTTAATTGCTCACTGAGGTGTTTTTATTTGCTTTCACTGATTGAGGATTTTATCACATCTCTCTCTTACATTAGGTGTCGACAAACCTTTTAATAGCCAATAACCAATTTGTCAGGAGATAGATACTTCTCACGCCCTCACTAAATGAATGCACGCACACACACTCACCCACACACACACGCACACCGTTTTCTTCATACAGTTTCCTAGTTCTGGTCTAACTACGAGGTAAAACTGATAAGTCTCCCAATTTAGGGAACTGTGCAAATAGGAAATCATAAATTGTGGTGAAAAGCGTAAAAATAACACTCTGCTCACCTCACCTCAGATTAACTCGTTTTCCCCATTGTGAGGAATTACAGGATTCTGTTCACTGAAAAAGGCAAGACTCACAGGCAAACAAAGCACACTCAAAAACTGGCATAAAATGTAGAGGTGCCCTGCTGGGACATTTTCTTTTTAGCATAGTTAGCGAAGTGATCAGAGGCTGTAAAAACATCAATTCCACTCCTCGCACAGAACGACAGATGATGTGTCCTTTCACTGGACCATGGGGAATTAATGGCCCTCCTGTGCCTTGAGAATTGATTGACCATGCCGCCTTCAGCAGAATGAAAAGAAGAGAGCGAGGCCGAGA